TTATATAGGTAATATAAAAATATTCGCATATATATTTAAAAATATTTAGTCATAGTTTCAAAACTGAAAAGCAAAAGAATTAGAAAAGAAAAATATTTTTATAAAAAATTGAGCGACAAACTGTCAATGAAAACTGAGACCTACAACGTTGTAACAAATAAAATATGGAAAGGAACGTAAAACAATAAAACTCTTGTTGAAACCCCCTTAAATTTTTAACTTTTTTCTTTTAAGATTTTGTTTTGTTTTTTTTTATTATTGTTTATGAAATTTTGACAAAATATCGTTTACCTTATGACATACCTTTCACGCTTGTTATTTTTAATTTTTTTTTTTCTTGATTGTTTTAATATTTTTAATGAAAAATGTGCCATCTGGAGGGAAGACAGAAGAAAACTTTGGAATTTTGTTTTAGTATTTTGTGTTTTTTGTTTTGTTGTTTTTTTTTTTTCTTTAACGTGATATTAAATTCCAATGGATGTCTCAACCTACGTTTAATTTTACCTTTACTTTTATTTCACTTTGTTTATTTAATTTTTTTTTTTTTTTGCTTAATTCTTACTTAGAAAGAGTTGAATGAGTGAGTTGTTGATATGATTGCGAAAATATGATTTTTCGGTATTTAATTTTTATAAATGGCTTCATTTAAATTAGTTTTTTGTTTTTTTTTTAAAACAAAGAGATTTTAAAAATTAAAACATAAATATAATAGAATGGCTAAGATAATTTTTAAAGTACACACTCTTACATATACAAATTGTAAAGGATGCATAATAATCAAAATTATATAATTAATTTAATTTTTGATTTAATATTCGTTTATAAATTGTTGTGTATGTGTGTATATTCGTATAACAACAGAGTGTATATAATTATGGGTAATAAAGGGTTGTACAATAATGATCACTGTTATTTATTTTATCAGGGTTATAAAAATAGTAATTAATAAAGATGATAAGCAAAAACAATGGCTTTAGTAGATTACTAAAATATATAACATAGAACTAATTGATCGAGAAATACTACTTTTGGTAAAACAGTACTATTGTACTGTGCGCAATAAATTTACACAGCAAATGTAAATTTCTACATTCCTTTAGCGTAATTCTGCACTTCTCTTGAAACTCTTTTCGTGTAAACGAGTACTTTTTTTAACTAATGTCTACCCTGTTACAGTATAGCCAAGCATAATAATGATAAAATGACCGCTGAAATTAACCGTTACAAAATTTGTTTTATTTAATTTTTGATATCGCGTTTCTCTTCCAGACGGTAAGATTTAGAAGAAATCTATAATTTATCAGCTTTCAGGCATTAATAAGTAATTCTTTTTTATTATTCCCTATAGTTATCGCCACTCGAAATTAACAAGATTTGAATTTTCGACGCTTGACACTTCCGAATTGCAAGATTTTCCAAATTTCTATAAAAGCAAAGCAAAAAGTCAACAGAAATGCTAAGTCAACAGAAATGCTAAGTCAACAAAAATGCTTTACGTTAACCCACTTACTTAATCGTCAAGTCACACACGTTTTTTCTTTTTCTTATCCTAAATGTATGCAATAATTTGATATATTTGGTATATGATGCCTATATGAGTGAAAGCATTTAATAAAAATTTTGTAAGTTCTCATTTACAGTCAATTGATTTGATTCAACTTTGTTTAAGTTCAATGTTAAGTATGTACTACATTTAAATATAAGAAAAATATTGAAAATCCCTTTATAAAATATCTTTACATGTTTATATACATATATACATTGTGTAATTTTATTTGCATGCTACAAATGAATATTATTATAGATACTTTTTTATGAAAGAAGACTTTGTTTACAAAGTTTTAAAAGTTTTTTTAATATGAAAAGTAAAGTGATTATTAAAGAGTATGGGTTTTTTTTTGGAAAACAAAAAAAGAAAAATAAGTTAAAAGTTAATGAAATTAATCGACCGAGTGTTAAATATGTATTTGTTGAGTTGATTTAAAGTATGGAAATTTAATGTGAATTTGACGCACGTTTGAAGAGGGTTTCAATTTTATTTCTTAAATTCGTTTTGTGATATTATACTGAATGAGGACTATATGGCGTTAACTCAATAAACATATAGATTTGCGTATTCTATACTTTCCTTTTTGTATTGATTTATTAGAGCCGGTGTATTTATTTACTTTATTTGCTACTATGCCCAGATCTATCAAATATTTTGTGTTGCAAATATTTCTTGTGTTGTTACTATGAGAATTAAAATTAATTAATTTACTGCACTCTCTAATGTACGGCAATACAATTCTTATAAAAATACAATAAATATTTTTGTGTAACTATAAATTATGACAAAATCGTTTGAATACTTCAGTCGAATTCAATATAAAGTCAATGAGCACCATTTGAAATACTAAAATTGCTTATACATAAATTAAAAATTAATATCAACATTATAGACTTAAAACTCCAAAACCTATTGTTTATGATATCGAGTTTTTTTTTTTGGCAACATAAGTGTTTTTACTGTAGGCGATCATCATATAATATTTATGAGATTGCAATAAAAATTTTCTTATTGTAAATTTAACGTGCATTTTAAATAAAATAAAAGCGTGTATATGTATACGAAATTATTGTCAAATTGTTATAATTATGTATGTATGTAAAAATATTGAGTTTAAAGCATTCATTTGATTGAATTAAATTGAAAAAGTTTATTTGGTTTGTCTATCCTCCTGCAAATATGTTAACCACTTAATTTTCTGGCAAAAATCTTAAAAACTCTTAATAACACACTAACATTAAAATATGACGTGGACTGTCAAATACGATCTGTTCAATTTAAGCTTTTGCCTTAACTCGCTTTATATTATTATCAGTACTATATATTTTGGTATATTTTCTTCAATTTCTTTATTGTCCTACCATTCTTCATTCAAAAGCATTTTAGGTATAGCTTCTGAAAATTGTTAATAAAAAAAGTGCTTCCTGTAAACAAAATGATTCACTTCAAACTTATTTCGCAATATAAATTTGAGCTTATTATTTTATGTAAATTGAAAATTTCACTATTACTCACTGAGTTTTTTTTTCCGTATAGAATTAAAGCTATTTATAATTCTACTCACCTACTCTTTAAAACCATTCACAATAATATTAATATATGCTGATTGCATATATTATCATTTTATTATTGTGAATGCTAGTTCAGTTATGAATAGCCAAATACAAATTATTAAGTAATAACACTTAGTTAGGCGTATAGTAAAGTATGCAGAATAACTATATATGCATTATTATGTTGAAGAAAAAGTGTTGTTTACCATCGTGATTGGAATATTCGATAAAGATAATTTTTGAAGAAAAATGGAAAGTTTATTGATTTAATATTCATTACAACTATAATTTTTTAAGGTAATTTTATGACATATTTAATATTTTAATGAATATGTAATGTTGTTTATAAATAAAATTGTAATAAATTGTAATTAGGGTAAAAATTAGGAAATAATTTACTTGATTATTTGAATAAAATTTGAATGAAAGTGACAACAAAATTTCTATTTTGTTATTTATCAATTTTGTCGAGAAAATTTAATACGATAAATGATAGTGTATAGGTAATTACTATAAGTAATATTGAATTATTAAAAAATGTATTCTTAAAAATAAAACAAAATTGTTAACCTGAAATATTGTCCCTCTATGATGAGTATTGGTTGGAAGTGAACTAGTGGGAGTTAATAAATATGAGACAATGTATAAAATAAGCATTTTTCGTGCGTTTACATTATACAATTGCCATTGGCGATGGGCTGCCGCGGAGGGGATCTGGGGCTGACTTTGTGCAGCTTGCCTGCCTGCTCGCGGTGGAATTCGGCCTTCACTGGCGGGACACGAAAGGGTGCCGTCATGCGAAGGTGTTTCTTTGGGCGTGCTCCAGCGGATTCACCGCAGAGTTGGTGGGGATGAACAGGAGCCAGGTTCGCACTATTGCGAATTTCTTCACGGGGCACTGCCCAAAGAAGTACCACCTGCATAGGCTGGGCAAGTTGGGCTCCGCCCTGTGCAAATTTTGTGGGGGCGGTGATAAGACCGTCGTGCACATTCTCTGAGACTGTCCGGCACTGGCTGTTTGGCACCGCAATTGTCTTGGACATGGGTTCCTAAGTGTTCGCGGATTGTTATCCAATTCCCTTAGGGATATCTCCGACTTTGTGGTTGGGACGATGATATTGTAGGTGGGAGCGTGGGGAGGCTACAATAAGTCAAAAATGGCTGGGGTGGCTTGGGGGTTTACTCTTCCCCCACTCGCTTCCCTTGAAATCTAAAAATCTACAACACATTTAACACGTTTTACTGGTAAAACTATGAGAAAAAGAGGAAAATGTTATATGACTTCAATTTTAACTCTTCCACCGCATCGAAAAACAAAATAAAAATAACACAAATTTTCGAAAAATTTCGAGTTTTTAAAAAAAAAAAATTAAAAAAAAAAACAAAATTCTGGCTTTGATGAGCTTTATATCTTGAAAACTATAGCTCAAATCAAACCGATTGTAGGACCGAAAATAAAGACTAATAAATCGCCTGTAAAGCAAACTACCTATAGTAACTCTATATCGCATTGTTTCGAAGTTATGAGCTTTTTTTCAACAGACTGTAACTCGAAAACGAATATATCTGCACCCAGCCCCCCTACTCATACAATTTTTTCCTGGAAATTGATCAAAGAATCATCCTTGAAATTATTTGCCACCTTATGCCAAATACCCTGTATATGTTTATATAATATATAAAAGTATACATTTTTTATCTATTTTAAGTCATTAGGATAATATTTGGATAAAACACTTCTTTGTATTATTACACACATGTTTGTTTGTTTTTATAAAAATCTTACAATTATTTTTTTTTATTATTTAGATTTTAAAATATATAATTTATATTTTCATTTATTTACTCAATATATTATTTTAATTTTCCTTATTTTTTTTTTAATTCTCTATTTTAAGGCACATTCCAAAAGCAAAGGCCACCATAGTTGCTGATACACCAGAACTCAAAAGAATTGCTGAAAATACAAAAATTCAATCAAACGTCAAATATCATGCTGATTTTGAAAAAGCTAAAGGCAAATTTACACAGGTGTTTATAAAAATTTTAAATTATAAAATTAGAATTGGAAAAAAAGGTTTAAAATAATTGTAGAAAATTTATTTTAATTTTTTCTTTTCGTTTTCTTAAAATATAAAAAATAAAACTTTTAATTTTTATTTTAAAATTCAATGATGCTTGAAAATATATTGGTAGCCATCTGGTGTATTTTTAATGAACATATACAAATAAAATATGTGGTTATTGCTCCACATTAAATTTGATTACAAAAGATCAAATAAATAAACTTCTATTTATGGTTAGGTCAAAGTTTCTAAACTATAATTGGAATGAAAAAAAAAAACAAAAATTTTTTTTGTATTGTAAAAGTGTTGGTATGTACTTAAATTTTTACATGACTTTAATCAAATCACCTGAAAATTGAATGGTTTTTCTTTTTTGTTTTGAGTAGGCGAAAAATTATTGTGTATGACAGATGTAGGTGAAGAAGTTTAATTTTAGTTTTCTTATTTATTTTTTTTTCATACTTTGTTTTATTGAATAAAATTTATGATTATATTTTTAACTCGTTTATTTTTAATCAATATTGTAGTCTGCTATTGTTTTATTTAAAATAAATTTTTCCAATTGCTTGCCGCCCATAATTGAATTAATTTAATAAAAGTACCATAAAATTAATTTATTAACTTTAAAATAATATGCGTTTAAGGTATTTCATACCAAATTTACATCCATTAAATATTATGTGCATAGACAATGAAATCGAAGAGTTTATTTGACATATTTGGGTATGTTCACAATAATTATATTTCAAGTTCATTTCATATTAATGTTTTATAATGATGATTTCTATATTTTCACTTGCAATTGCAAGTTTTGCAAAACCTTACAATTTAAAACAAATTATTTCATAACTCAGTTAGCTTAGTCAAATTGTTACAGAAATAACCACAAGAGAAAAATTTAATTATTTTTTCAGCACACAGAGAGAACAGAAGACTTCTTGACTTTAGGTAATAAGTTATAGTTTGTCATTAAGTAACACTTGTACCAGTTTTTTCTTACTAAAACAGTGACAACTGACAATTAAATAATAATTTGAATTTTCGACAACTATTTTTTTTTTACAAGGATCAAATAATTTGTTTTTCTTTTTCAATTTAACTTTTTTTTTATTTGCATTGCAGTTTTTTTGTGTGCATATAAAACCAAATGAATGCCATATAAAAATATATAGATAATTAATGTTCAAGCTTGTATAACCTTGCCAAAAGAATTGTATAAAAAAAAAATTCAATGATATTTACAAACATCAGAGAACCTATAGGTTCTCTGATTATGATAGAAGTATAATCTTTTAAACTTATTGACCTAGTTCATTTGTATAAAATATAATATAAAATCCTTGCATTTTTATTTATATATATATTTGTACTTAGTTGAAATAGGTATACTCGTAAGTTTGTATATACATATATATATTTGTATTTATGACCGGATATGTGATGTACATGGAATTAGGATTTATTGTATTGTTTTCTTTTTAGGTTGCCGATGACCCTGAAACACTTAGAATTAAAGCAAATACCAAAATCATATCAAATGTTGCTTATCATGGTGATTTAGAGAAAAAAGCTGCAATGGAAAAACAAAGAGCTGAAGCTGAAGTAGCCGAAAATCGAGGTATTTTTTTTTTTTTTTGTACATAAATATAAGGGGAATTCAATAATTCGGAGAAAAAGGAATTTGTTTATTTATGAATTTCAATTAATAAAAATTAAATTAGAAATATTACATAATATTAAAAATTTTCACAAATAATTCATTTCATATACACATTGCCCATTTTATAAATGCTATTTTATATGTAAATTGTGTTCTTTAATATTAATTAAATATTTAATTATTAAGTATTATTTTCGTTTGTTATTTAAATTTTATTTTGATTTGAAGTATTTTTTATTTGTACCTAAAATTATAAAGTTTCAACTTAATGCAAAATTTTATCCTGCAAAACTTACCTTGATTTATTGAGAATTTTGGACACTCATTCGAGTTTATTGTTAAAATTTTATTATAATTGATTTTATTATAATATTAAATAGTCACAATATGCTCTTTTATATAATTCAAGTGGTCGATATCTGAACTATTGGTTCAGAGCTCAAATTTTGTAAAATATTTGGTTTTTATACGAAGCATTGTTTTTTTTTACATAATTATTATGTTTTTTATGTATTTTGTGCTTTTATGATGTCTGGTTTTTTTGTATTTGTTTTGCTTTTTTATTATAATAATAATTTTAAATCAATTAAAAGCGGCAAATTTTAGCAATTAAACCAAGAAAAAAAAACATTTTTTTTCCCTAATTGAGGACACAAACTAAAACAAAAAAAAACATAAACCACTAAACAAAGACAAATATATATGTATATATTGAACATTTTTAGACCATGAATCTGAGTATTTCTCAGAAACACTTGCAGCTGAACAATTATCACAATATGCTCCAAATCAGCAACATTCACCTACTCAAGTTGGCACAACAACAATATTGCAAACATCAACACATAACCAACATCAAATAACACAACAACAACAACAACATCAAGTACAACAACAGCAATCATATGCAAATAATAAAACACTACAACAACATCATTCACCTCAAATGCACCATCACAATACATCTGCACAAATAAATAAATCACAACAACAGCAACAACAAATTAATTCACAACATAACTATGCAACTTCAGCTGTAGGTAATAATCAAGTGCAAGCACAACAACAGCAACAATATCAACAGCAGCAACAACAATCACCCCAGCATAAACAGCAGCAACAACAGCACAAACAACCGTCACCAACTTATCAACATCCTCCAACTCCGCAACAGCATAGAAATCAGTCACAGCAATCACATCAAATACAGAGTGCAAATTATGCAGCACAAAACTATCAACAACAACAACAGCAACAACAACAACAGCAACAACAACAACAGCAACAACAGCAACAATTGCAACAAAATCAACATGGTCAAAATAATTATAATAATTTGAGGCAAACAATTGTTCAAAGTGCTCATCATCCAGCTGGTGGAAATTATGATACATATGATAGTTATGGAAGACCTATAAATAATCAAACTGGACAAAATATAGCTGCAACAAATGTTTACAACAATAATAATCCAAATCAATATGCTTATAATAATACAATTGGTTATCAACAGCAAGGTCAACAGCAACAGCAACAACAACAGCAGCATCAACAACAAGCTAATGCTTTGGGTTATAATGCTTATGCTATGACATATGGGAATGGAACTGGTATAATGGGTAATAATACAACATCTAATGGTGGTGGTGGATATTATGGTAGTGTTGGTGTTATGGGAGGTGGTAGTAATAATAGTAGTGGAATCGGTAAAATTGCTGATTATGATCCATTAACTGATGGACCACGTAATATACCAGGCGCACCTAGACAAAGTGCTACTCTTATATATAGTTCAGATAATAATCGTGGTTCTGGTAAGTTTTGTGTGTGTGTTTTTTTTTTTTTTGTTTGCTCATATAATTCTTAATTTCTAAGACTACTAATCCACGAAATTTGTTATTATGTTTCTAAAACAGCGATATTTAAATATTAACAATTAAGAATGATTTTTTTTCAAAGAATATTTTTTAGTCAGAATTCTGTTTCAATTAATTCAAAACTGATTGTAAATTTCATATTATAAAATTATGTACATAACACTAAATATAAATGAAATTGTTAAAAATGATATTGAAAAAATTTTCAAATTATAGAAAAATATCAAAAGTTTTTGTCCTCAAGTATATATAAAACCTATCGTTTTATATAATTTTCTATTAATTAATTAAGATTATAAATTAAAATTCCTGTATACATTTATATTTATTGCTCAGTTAAAATATTTTATATTAAATTAAAATCCAATTTCTAAATGTAAATTTTCAAACCCTACAGAAAAGTAGCGGAAACCATTCATTTCCATACTCATGAGAGAATAAGATCTTTAAATTAGACATAGTTTTCAAATTCTACTTAATTTTTTAGAAAATTAATTAAACTATAGATCAACTGATATACCTATATCCAAGCTTATACGTATAACAACAAATCCTTCATGTTACGCTATACGCTATCGCTGAATAGAAAATGTATTATTTTTTGTGTCAAATATTTTTTATAATAAATTAATGTTATAAAAACTGTTTAATTAAAAAAATATATATAATATGCATGTTTTAATTTAATATTTTATTTTAAAATAATTAACTTATTAGCTTTAATATATTTTTTGTTTAAATATAAATGTGTTATTTGTGTTTTAAATAATATTATTCGCTCCCGAATAGAGTAGCTCTGTTTTATGTTAAATAACATTATTTTTTTTATAATTAATTATTCTACATAAATCTCGTAAATAACCATTTTTTTGTTACTCACTTAGCACTTATTACATTTTTAATTTTTTTTTTTATTTAAAAAAGATATTTTCACGTATTTCATTGTATTCATTAATCAAAAATATGAAAATTAAGTGTTATTTATAAGTATTTTGCGAATAAATGGAATATTAAGTATTTACTTTATATATTAAGTATTTTACAGACTTATCCGAGAAATTGTATCAATTAATGAAAAATTAAGTTCTAATTTGATATAAAAATAACGAGACTTCCCTCTTATACTTCCTGTACATTCTGTATATATACTCGTATATGTATAAATTACATTCAAAAATATATTTGACTCGTGTAATTTCGGGTCTTACACCTGTGTCTCTTATTTTTCCAAAGTAATACTTAAAAACAAATACGTAATTAATTCAATGAATGTATATTTTATTTTGAGTGATTAATATTTTTTAAAAAATTAATAGCCTCACTTTACAAAATATAAACTTTAAAACTTTAAAGTTTATTTTCTAAAAATAAATTAAAAGAGATTGACCCAGTAAGTTTTATAAAATTAAATAGAAATTTGTTTTTAATTTTATTATTATTTTTTTTTGTTTAAAGATGCGAACATTTAATAATCAAATAAAATAGATTTTATATTAATTGCAAAAATTCATTATAAACTTTTCCGTTTTAAATATAGTAAATAACAGTGTTTATCCAAAACGTGTTGGTTCCGTATCAGATATTGATCCAGCTAATGGAGTATATGGATCATTAACTGATCATAACAATCAATATTATGCACAACATCAACAAACGCAACAGCATCACCATCAGCAGCAGCAACAACAACAACAGCAACAACAACATCATCATGGGCATCAACAAAGTAAAGCTAATTCGGTAAGTATTGCATAAGAGTATTGCATTTTTTTAAAATTTAAAATTTTTTAATTAATGTCGGAGTGATATTTTTTGGTAATTAGATTATTTAAATTGGCATCAAGTTTGATTTGCAAAAATATTTGTCAATTTGAATATTTTTTTTTTGTCAAAATGCTATTCGAAATGCTTCAGAATTAATAAAGTATTATACCTAATTAATAAAATGAAATTTCGGATTGAACATTGCATTTTTAACTAAATTAATTAATTTTTAAAACAATTTATTTTAGAGAGTATACCGTGCCGTATATGATTATCAAGCTCAAGATACCGATGAAGTTAGCTTTTGTGAAGGTGATCTTATATTTGAAATAAAACCAACTGAATCGGGATGGATGACTGGTAAAGTCGAAAGAACTGGTCATACAGGAATGTTACCAGCTAATTATGTTGAACCAGCTATAATTTAAGTTAAAATTATATATATATATATATATTTTTTATATATAAACATATAAATACAAGTATATAAATATTTCTAAAATTTATAATTTTATTATTTTGCAATTAATATCCTTATTGTAATTTAAAACTTGTTTTTTTTTTGTATCTTGCTTACTTAAAATTTTTATAAAAAAATATAAAAAAAAATTAAATTAATTAATTTAATTAAAACAAATAAAAATGAAGTAAAAAAAAATTTTTTGTAACCTATATAATTCAAATTTATTTACATAGTATATAAGTTAATATTTAATTTATATAGGTTTAAATATGAAGCAATTTAAATATTAAAAAAAAAATAATAATTTTGTATATCTTCTAATTTGATATAATATGTATGTATAATCTTCTTTTTCAAATAACATTTAGAAATATGGAAATTATAAAAATATCTTTTACTGATAATTTGTTGTAAATCTTTTTTTTTTTTTAATATTTTTAAGAAAATAAAATTATTGTATTAATGAAGAAATAGAAAATGAAAATTGAACTAATTGGAAGAATTTTTTTTTTATTTAAAAATTTTAAATAATGCATTTAACAAAGCTGATTTAAATTTGATTTCATATTTAGTTTTTGATTTAAAAAAAAATTATATAGGATAATTGAATATTACTGTACAGTGCACATTTATAATATTCTAATTAAATCAATAATGAAGAGAAATTATTAAAATTTGGATTTAATGTGCTCATAATAATATTAAATTTTAAAGAATTCAGCTTGTAGTAACGAAATAAAGTTAAAATAACAATTCACTTTCTTGTACAGATTTAGAAAATCAAAAAAAAATAAAAATATTTAGAAATTAAATTTTAAAAATTATGTTGTTCACGAATCTCTTAAAGATCGAAATCATTGTAATATTGAAACAATCCGATACATAAAGAGTTTTTAATCTAATTATAATATTATTTAAAATTAAATTTTGGATAAGTAATAATAACAAAGAAATTTTGAATTATACTTAGTTTTTCTGCGAATTAAATTTTATTTTCGATCAAAATATTTATATAATTTTATCAATATTATGGAGATTTTCAATTCAGAAAACAATACAATAAATTGTTACTAAGAGTTTTTAATTTTTTTTTTCTGTCGTTTTTGGTGAATAAAACAAAAGTAAAATGTGTACTTGTTATAATGTAGTATCCGGCACATTACATAATATCTATTATAATTGCTTCTAGTTCACATGAAAAATTTTAATTATAAGCAATAAATATGTAGAAAACTATTAAAATAAAATAAAAAGAAAAAACAATTTTGTTATTGATCAGGATCTTTCTTTGTTGTTAATTGTTTAACAGATATAAATATAAAAATTATAATAATTTATAAATATAACAAATAGAACAATTTAATTATTCACAATTTATATAATATTTGTATTTAAGTATTTTTTTTTTTTTTCAATTTTCTTTTTCATGTTCTATATATAATACTTTTTCTATAAATTTCTTTTTCAATAAAATTTTAAGTAGAAATATTAGAAGAACAAATATGTTTCAATAAATAATAAAATGTTTTTGTAAACATTAATTATACTAAAATCTGAAAGTATTTAATTTTTGACTAATAATTTTCATTATTGAAAATTCAATAAATAATTGATAATAATAATATAATAATATCAATAGCGAATTTTAAAAATCAATGAAACGAAAGAAATTTAGTCTTTAAATTACTGAAAACAAAATGTATTTTTCTAGAACAATAAATACTTTTGGGAAAAAAAAAAATGATGAAAAATATAATATTAAAAATATTTTGGTGTAAATTAAAAATGCAATAATTAAGAGGATTTTAATGTTTTTTCTATTTGATAATGTGCTCTGCAGCTAAATAATTTTGATTTTAGTTGATATAAGGTTCCATTTTGTTACGTTTCCATTTTGTAATGCTTTCATTTTGTAAATTTTATCTAATAATTAAAGTAACTCTTTCACTTTTATTTTATAAAAATATGATGAATTGATATGATTTATTCTTAATTATCTACTTTATTCTTCTTGTTCGATTCTCATTATAATTCGAAGACATCCTCAAATATTATTGCAAACGATTTCAATGCAACTAATATTCCTATATAAAATCATACAAAAGTTCCATTATTTCTCATTTCCTAAAAATTCTTCAATTGAGATTACATTAAATATGTGAATTATAATATTATGTATGTATAAAGAAAACAGGTTTAATATTAATATATAATAATTATTGTGATTATTTTTAATATATTTAAATATAAATTGAAATTGAATATAAATACAAATCAAGGACAAAATAAATATATACAATAAAAGAAAAAATAAAAATTGATTGCTAAATAAAACTTTACAATAATTAAATAAATGAAAAACAAAAAAATTTTATACAATAAATGTCCATAATTATTCATATAAAAAATTAAATAAAACTGAATGTAATAGGTGGCCAATTGAATTTTCTAGTAACTAAAAAAATATTTATGAATGGTGTTTGTAACTATAAAAATTATCATACTTGATTTAAATGAATAACAAAAAATTAATATTTTATTGATAAAATAAATATGATAAAACTTCATTCATATTTAAATTTCAAAAATATCCTTATATTATACGATTACGTATATAGAAAACAAAAACAAAATTGAAATTAAGGATAATTTTTGACATTTTGTATTATTGTTTCAAGAAATTCGGCACGATCATTAAATTATTTGTAAATTAAATTAATTAGAAAAAAATCAACAAAGAAAAAAAAAAATTAAATAATTTATAACAAAAATTAACAAATTTATGGAGCTCTTTATAAATTGAAAACATAAAAATTTAATTGAAATTTTAAATTAATTTTTAAAATATACCAATTAAATAATTTTAAATATAATTCAAATATAAGAGCCCGTCCTAATAATAAAAGATGCCAAATCTTTACTAAAAATTTATATATATATGTATACATATAGGGCAATAAATTTTAAAATATTCATTATGAATATATGTATGTATCAATTATATTTAAAAACAAAAATTTTTTTCAAAATTTATTTCTATTAATTTTAATTAAAATGAATAATTTTACATTTATTGCAATTTATTTAAAAGTGCCTTAAATTATTTAACCGATCGCAATTAATTCTTTTTGTAATATTAGTAAAAAGCAAACTGAAAGACTTGACCTAATTATAATAGATTTGTATATCCCCCTTGTAATAAGTAATTTTTAAATATTCATTGTAAAATTCTTTTATAGACTTCAATATTGAAAAGCAAAATTACAAAAAAAAAAAAAAAAATATGTATTTAAATCCTTGAATTTTAATAAACCATATATGGAGAAAAATATAATAAAAAAATGTTTTCTAATAATAATATTATTTATATTATATAAAAAAAAAATATGTAATATGAAAATTGGCAAAAATTTTTGAGTAATTTTCAAGCAATGTATTATTTATTAAATTGTAGTTCAATACAAAATAAAATTTTAATTATATTTATAAATTTTTATAATTTTCCTTTAATATTTTTAAAACTTAAAAATAAATAATATTATTCAAAATCATTATATAAAGCAATTCGATATTATTAAATTTGTATTTGAGAATTTATAAAAAAATCTTTTAAGATATTTAAAATATATATATATATATATATATAATATAATATTTTGTATTGAACTAAAATTAAAATTAGATTAAAATTAATTCGATATAAGCAAAAAAATTAAATAATCTATTTTTATAAATCATTTTAAATATTTAGAATGTATCGTTTTTCTGATACAAAAAAAAAAAATATGTTGAAATTTATTTATAATTTTGTTTTTAATATTCTTATAAATTGTTTCCAACATCACAAAATTAATTTATTTAGTTAAATGTAAAGTTTATTAACACGGAAAAAAATATAATTAAACAAAATTTTTATTGAATTAAAATGCAATTATATATTTCAATATTTGATTTTAATAATTAATAAAATAAATTAAAAAAAAAACAAATGCGATCAATAGAGGAATAAAAAAGTGCTGCATTAAAGTTCCGTGTTTACAAATTTCTAATTTCATAAAAATTTCAAATGACTGTGTCACAAATTTCTATAATAATTTCTTTGCTATTTAAAAATAAAAAAAAAAAATTAAATATAACAAAAATTTTATTTTGATTTTGAAAATATGAATATATAAATATAAATTCCAATATTTAATTTCCAATATTTAGGTTTAGATACCTTTACTTTATTTCTATTACTTTGTAAATTTTTTTTTAGTCATTTTTAGGAAGGAAATTGTATTCATAATTAATATTATATATATATAATAAAAATACGTAAATAAAATTCAAATAAAAAAAAAAAAAAACAATTTAATGTGAAAACTTAATTACTTGCATTTAAATCAATATTTCCATGTCGTGCATTATAAACACTTTTTGCTTTTATTAACAATTAAGATTAAAATTGTGTAATTGTGTTTACGAAATTTTCTTGATATGACCAAATTATGGTACATAATAAAGATGTCATTAGTGCCGAATATTAAGTGAATATGTTCGATTATTATGTTTAATTTTTATATTTGTATACATTTTAAAAGATGGTAGACTATAGAGATTTTGTAATTTGTGATAAACATGTTTTTGTTTTGATTTGAACTTGTTCTATTTAATTTCTCAATTTTGACCAAATTCATTTAAAAAAGGTACTACGTATTTAATGTGCCGGTGCCTGACTAACTTCACATAATTTTATAAAAAACATACAGAGCAAAGGGAGTTTTTCGTTTTTTATTCAAATTGCTTTACCGCAAAAATGTTGATACGGAATTGCAAGGTTCGATAAATAAATTTAATAAAATCCTCATACTTATTAAAACATTTTAATTTATTAAATTTAAAAAAAACCTACCTTAAAATTTTTCAGATGATCTGAGTCACTTAATAGTATTTCTGTGCAAGAGTGAAATTTATTTATGTACATATGTAGCTATATGTATAGATATGTATATTTCTTTAAAATTAGGTTTATCATCTTTGATCTAGGCTTGCAAAAATGAATTCAGACAAAAACTTGTGTAATTTATTAACAGATATAATGTACGTATATCATCTTCTTGTGCATAAAGAGTTAAAAAAATATAAATTATATATATATTTATTTTATACAGAAAATTTTAATTAATTTAAAAATTTAAATAATTTTAATAATCTCCTTTTTTAGATTTCATATATTGGTATACTATGTAATTTGAAGT